CCCCAAAACCCCAAAACCCCAAAACCCCAAAACCCCAAAACCCCAAAACCCCAAAACCCCGACTAGAGGGAGTCCAGTTGAAGTTATAATATTTTTGATCGTGGCAGGATGAGGAGTGAGAGGGATGGGTGAAATTGTTACCTTAAAAATTACAAATTATGAGAAAGAGTTCATCCCATGCTGGTCATGGTATGATGATACTTTCAGCATCTGCTGAAGAGCATACCTCTCATCTTCAGTAAAGGTGGTATCTCAGTTATCAATGAAAAAGCGAAGTAAGATGTCATACTCCTTAGTGCATATTGTTTTCTCCATTTTAATGAAAGAGAAGTTTTCAAAGACACTCTTTCCTGAACCATTTCTAGTAGCCATATCTTTCAGAAATGTGCTCAGAGTGCTGTATTCTTTTCAGAAAGAAGCTTTATTCTTTTGAATCAAGCGAGGATTGATGAGATTAGCTAGTGTAAAGACTAAATTATTTGTTTGAAGGCTGCTTCAGAAAAATATTTCAAAAGTCGCCAAGCACTTCGAGAAAAACCAGTTTGTAGCTCTTTTTGCGCTGTTCATAATCAGTATTCTTTCTAAAAGAAGATTGATACCATTTCCTCATCTTCCTGAGAAGCGAGCGATACAGTGTATCATATCTGTTTTCCGATTTTTTCTTCTTGGGCATGGGCATTACAAATTTGGTGGGCTCTTCATCAACACTTCATTGGTTGTTTAGGTTTAGGGTTATTTCAGATGGTCATAAAGCATCCTCGTAAATAGAAGGGACTGGGTCTCCTTGATATGTTGATTTCTCATAGTTCGTTCATATTTTGGTACTGACACTCTGAGCTCAGTCAGGTATCTATATAAATAGTTAAAATCGAATAACTAAAATGTCCTTACCAGTTTCATCTTGATTATTCATGGGTCATCACTAGATGTTGAACCTCCTGAGTCATCATAGATCTGATAATCTTTTAATGAAAATGCAGATCATTGAGATATTTTCTCAAGGTGGTCAAATTCGATAGAGATGCACTCAGAGCTTCTGATATCATGCTCCGAAGTGCTATCTCTAAAGAAAATATCTCAATCCTTTGAATCGGTAGTAGCCTCAGCTAATACTGGCTTCAGGTTCGGATTCAAGAGTACATTCTTTGCAATCTCTAAATCTATACCAATGTGTAAATGAATAGCTCTTTAGCAGCTTGAAATAAGGCAAAAGAGAGGCTAAGCTGTTTCTTGAAATTAGCAAAATAACAAATTAAAACAATTAATACTATTCTCGGACTGTTAGTCCTCGTTCCTATTAAGTTATTCCTGCCAAAAGATATGTGACTAAGGGAGGTATCCTGGCTTATACTCAGAAAAGAGAGATTCTCTTCATCTCTTAACAGAAACCCCACCCAAATACAGCCTTGGTCAGTTCAAAGAGGCACATGTTTAATACAATAATATAGAAACTTCTTGCAGTATTTATGTAATCCTAGGAGGCCATATCTAGCGTAAAAATGGTGAACTTCGAATTCTTTAATCAAGGTAAAATTTCTCTTATTCTCATTTAGCCAAAAAGCATACTCCTTCGCTGAAGGTTTAACCTGGAAGTCCGCCAATATATTAACTCGAGTATAATCAACCGAAGTATTTACACTACTTGCCTGAAGTTCTCCGTAACTACTTGAATGGTGGCTTACCTTTAGGGGAAAATTTAGTAAATTGCTGATAGTCACTTTGGTGCATCTCCATCTCCATGTTTAATATTTATAATATACAGTTCTACTGTTAGAAAGGGTGACGGGGTTTTGGGGTTTTGGGGTTTTGGGGTTTTGGGGTTTTGGGG